GCCTTCGTTACTTAAAGAAAAATTTAACCTCTTATTCAGGATACGCACTGTTTCGGAATCAAGAGGACTTGAAGATAAGTTCACTGCCCTATCTCCATCGTCCTTGGGAGAAATGGATGCCGTTCATACCAGAACATCATGATTTGATCGAATTGGCTGAATCCTGCGCTGCCTCATTATCCCATATCTAAGCAATCGCTTGTCGTGCCGCTTATCAAATCCCGGACCCTCTGCAACTTATCGTCAGTAAAACTCCCGAGTTTTTGAAAATCATCCGAATTGAGAACCCTACCTAAATCATTCCTTAATCCAGACTTGATATCTATGAACTTAAATAGCTTACGCCTCTTAGTCTCGTAACTTTTCTCTAATTTCCGGATGAAGGCGTGATAAAGTATTTCATTAATTATGTCCAAATGATACTTCTTCATTCGGTTTTTTGGAACCTGGGAGTGATACCATAATGTTTGCAACAATTCAAAAGGTCAAATGGCAGGACTGACTTAAAATTGTCTTCTGTGTTCGGCTATGATCGGTGCATTGCCTGGCAATATTACTTGCATAGTTTAATCGAAAGTATAAGGACCAAGATCGTGTGGCCTTTTGTATGGCCGCAGTCTTTTTTCGTTGTGTAGAAGTTGTTTGACTGAATGAGATACTACGAAAGGAAACCGCGACCATACTAAAGGCCGCCGCATCATGATCAGCATACCTTCGAATATTCATTAATTTCGCTATTTCATATTTCTTTATTACCTGCTTTCCTTTCTTTAAGAATGCTGTAACCCAGAGTTGCACCAGCCTTCTCCAGCACTCCTGTCACTTCACCTGTGACCTTGCCTCGGGACTCTCTGAACCCGAGTCCACTTGTCTCCTCTCCAGTGCTACTGCCCCTCCTTCCGACAACTGAGGTCTCTTCTGCCGCTACCACTAGCATCTCTAATTTGGCCGAGTGGCACTCAACTATGCGGCTAGAGGCATTAACCATAAAGCCCTTTTAGTCATAACAACCAGCCTAAACCATCCACAAGCTATGGTTAAAGCTAATCACTTCTCGTACCCTTCTTAGGCTTTCCTCCTACTTACATGCCTACTGATTGACTTATAATTTATTCTTTTTTGTGCTCACTTATAAAATACTTTTGATCCCTATATACATATATATA